TGGGTGAGTGAAAATAGCGTCATTCTCATCTCAAAGGAAATGGTTAAACGGTAGGCAAAATTCTCCATTTTTGACTCCAGAAATCCTTAGTTTCTTTCTTCTACCTTATACCCAAGTAATTTCTGGATTCTCATCTTCACATATTCTAAAACAGCCTCATTTTAGGCCACCATTGACTTCATATTTTAGTTAGCCAGGGGAGCAAATGATTACAACCACTCCTAGTTGCTTGATATCAAAGTGGAATCCATATTCTCTGATAAATATAGTCAGACTTACTATTTTAACCAGACTGAATTTTTTGCTTCTCCCTTCTTGTTCCAGTGCAATTATAGTAGCATCTATTTCTACATGTATTTCCAGATTTCTGAGATTGCAATTTAGCAAAATCATACAAGTCTTGATTTAGGTTAGACTTTGTAATTCATCCCTTGGTGTTCCAGGTAGAAGCCTAGAGGCAAGAAGGGGTTTCAGGGGTGGGACATGAGGAGCAGCAGCTTTGTTTTACAAGGTACTTGCTTTAAGTGCAGTCATTACATAGTCAGCAAGACAAACAAGATGAGGCTCTTCAGTGAAGCAGTGAAGATTTGGTGGGTAAGGGTAACTCAGACTTCTCTGAATCCTTCTAAATGTCCTTTTTCTAGTCCTTGGGGTGCCTTTTTATTTTCAGAGTAGTGCCAAGATTTCCACATAAGACACCTAAAAAGGCTCTGAGTTCATCCTACATTGTAATTCAATGACCTCTCCTAGATCAGGCTCTTCATCTTCTTTCTGTTATGTCTTAAAGCCTCAATAAGAGGCTGTTATGAGCAGCCATAGCCACTCTTGGGTTCTCCAAGCCTTGCCCTAAAATTTAAAACCTTAAGCTTGTCATTTTCTTTCTTTAAATTCCTCAATGCAGTTCAAAGCTTCCAGCTGACCTCATTGTCCTTCTATTCTTCCTCCCCTTCAAAATGGTCTGTGGTAGCTATGACTCAGTCCATCAAAGCCTTACTTTCAGAGGCACCCCATTTCAGGAGAACTCAGGGGGCCATTTAAGTAACTACGTTGCCTTTATGTACCATGGAAGACAATGCCTCTTCTTTTAATGTTAATCTAATTGTTACTTTGTCAAATCTATCCGGGTCAGATATTCTGGATTCCTGTTTGTTTGAAACAAAAGAAAGCTCTTCCTTTCCTCATGGACCTTACATTATTTTTGGGAGACAGACTATAAATAAAATAAATGAATAAAATAAATATTACATTAGATACAGACAAATGCTAAGGAGGAAAAACAAACTGGAAAGGGGATATTTAGTGCAGGTGGTGACCAGGAAAAGCCTTGTTGAAAGGTGAGATTTGAGGAAAACTATGAAAGAGATGGTGGAATGAGATGGTCATGCAGTTATCAGAAAGAGAATGTTTTAGGGGGAAAAAATCACAAGCACAGAGTCCCTGATGTGAGATCATAGATGATGGATATGTTAATAAAACATAGCAAAACTGCAAAGAAGCCAAATCAGCTAGACTGGAATGAGCAAGAAGAATAAAAGATGAGTTCAGAGAATTTAGATCCCTTTTGTACTTGTAAGGACTCTGGTTTTTACTTGAGCCAAATGAGAAGACCTTGAGGATTTCAGCAGAGGGATGGATGACCTGACTTACATTTTAACTTAGTGTTTTAGAAATAGCCTGATAGGAGGATGAAAGCAGGAGGACTGGTTAAGAAGCAATTGTAATAATTCAGGGGAGATGTTGGGTCTTGGACCCAGGTGGTAGCAGTGGATATAATGGCAGGTGGTCAGAGTCTAGAAGTTGTAAGAATATGGAAAGGACTAATTTTAGAGAATGAACTATAAAATTTTAGATGGGTAAGAAGAAAGTGAGGGAATGAATATGGTGAAAAGCAGTAATAAATTCAATGATAAAGAGATTGAGGGTGCAAGTATCTTTATAGTTTGAGCATTTAAATATCTGAACTAAACTGTAATGATTTGTGAGTTACATAATAAAAATTCAATTATGGAAGAGTTGTATTTATTGATAACAGTAGTATATATAGTGAAACCATAACTGTGAGTTACTGAAATAGAGTAGAAATTGAGACCATTGAAGAACACAGTCTAGAAATTTAGATTCCAGCATGCTGGAAAAATCATCTAAACGGGTAATAAAAATCACCAAAAATTATGGCTGGGGTAGCATTGAAAAGAGTGACAATGGTCTAGTTGCTAACATACTCAAGGAGCAATGGAGAGTGACCCAGAGCATGGCAGAGGACCATTATGAGGAAAGGTAGCAGTAGGTATGACTGGATGTGCTGAGTGTCACAGCGTCTTTAGCTGCCAGTAACAGAATTCACTCACTTAATGGATATTAAGAAATTCTTACCTAAAACAGTCTGTCGCCTAACCTTGCAGAACAAAATTTTATAACTTCATTGCAAAGCTGATAAGGGTATTGTTTCCCCTTTTTCATATAAAATCATGATTCTTTTGCCACTTTCCCTTGAGCAAAATAGATGCCTTCACCAACTTATTTATATGGCTTATAACTTATTTATACCATTCATGTCTTGCATGTGTGTAATTAATAGAAAATACATGGCGCCAAACACTGAGAATTATAGTATTTTGTACTCTATGTAGGGAAGGTGAGATGAACATTATGAGAAACTTGCCAAATGTAAACAGTGTGATCAAAAGATTTAGGTAGTCTCCAATAACAGATGTCCTTTATGGCTTCACTATAATACTCACACTGTATTTCTTTCCTGGAGGATACAGATTATGTCTCATACAAATTTGTTTCCTACCCAGTGCCATGCAATATTAGATGCTCAAATAGTTATTAGATTACTGTATAAATCAATATATCTGTAATTTATAGTTAGAGAAGCCAGTTTACATTGCATTATAAGTCTTGTTTCTTTGTAAGTGTATCATCTATCTAAAACATACATATATACATAGCAATGTTGATTAGCTTAAGCTTTTAGGAAATAATGCCAGTTAACCATGGATGCAGATTTAGCTTTGATATAGGCCAGAATGTACACTGGATAATTTACCTCATTTATCATTTTTTCCCCGATTCATCCAACAAATATTTTTACATATGTATAGATGCTAGGAACTGAGTCAACACCCAAATACAGTGACAATCAAGACAGATACTGTGCCTATCTTCATGGAGCTTATATTTCAGTGAAGAAATGTAATGAAATTTAGTAAAACTATATTTAAGAAATTACACATCATGACATGATATGAAGAGATGAAGCAAGAGAATGAAATAGAGAATTATGAGGCCTTAGAAGATGAGAGACCCACTTGACATAGAATAGTAAGCAAATGCTTTCCTGAAAAGGTGATATTTAAACTGTGACTTAAAGTAATAGAAAGAACTGAGCAAATAAAAGCCAAAGGAAGGGTATTCCAGGCAGAGCGCACAGCATATGCAAAGGCTTGGCGTATGAGGAACTGAAAGTAGGCTGGTGTGATTAGAGCAGAGTTTGCCAGAGAAAGACTAATACCAGATAATGTTGGAAAAATAGGGTTAAGTTCATGCAAAGCTCCATAACCTATATATATATATATGAAATAGCATTCATTTAATAAATGTATACATATATCTATAGAATTCAAGATAGTAGAATATTGTGAATATAATCAGATTAATAAAGAAAAGCTCTTTGAAAATATTAATGGTATCATCTTCATTCTGAGGAACTATTAGTATTATTCTGATCCTTAAATATAACTCCTACCTACTGATCTACATACCTTTAGAATCTCAGATATTTAGTCTTTTGTGCTAAAAGCGTGGCAGTTTTCTGACAGTTTAAACCATAATTAGTGACAGCGAGTGAATAAAAATTAACTTGTTAAGTGCTAACAAACGTGATACTAATATGTGACACTGAAATTAACAGTGGCATTGTGAAAACCAAAATTTTTCATACGCTTTGGGAAAAATCTTGAAAGAATACTATTTCTTTACTTCTTTATATCTTATATCTGCATTTTCTTCTTTTGTTTCAGTAACTTCTGCTTATTTGCCAAGACATTATTTGTCAGCCTATTGTTTTATTAGCCTTCTAAAAATCTTTCCTTTCATTAGTCTTATATTGATCTTCACTAGTAAAATTTTAATAACTGATAAGTTTTTTATTTTCTTTTCATGTATCCTTGCTTTTAGTGGCAGAACTGCCTTATAAAATGAGACAAAGGTGAAACTCCCAATTCACAAAACATTTAAAAGCAAAATTTTTCTGGGAAACGTCAGAGCATAGACTCTGAAGCAGACTGAAACACTGTTCATTGGACGTTTCCTTAACCTCTGTCATGGCACCAGAGGCTACTCTGGGCAAATGTAGGTTCCAGAGACTTTAAAAATTATGTTCTGTAACCTCTTTTCCTAAAATGACTATTGCTAGTCTCAGTTATTATGTTCCAGTTGGTTGCACATATTTTTCTATTATGTTATCTAAGAATTAATTGTGAATAAAATAATTAGTTACTGCTATAATTGCCATAGCAACATGTGACTATCACTATAAACATATTTAAAGCAACATGATGACTATGCACATTTCCTTCGACTTAAAATTTTTAAATAACCAAATATAAATGAAATTAATTTTGACTTTCAGTGCTAGTCTCTTAGTGAAATCATCATGCCTTGTACAATGTTCTTCAGAAATTATCCCTATTGGATCGTACGTATTATGTTGTACTATAGTTCTCTTCAATCCAAACTGAAATGACTAAATCTTCAAAAAGAATGCATGTAATTCACATTATATTTTATATCATTAAATTGTTATGTGATAGAAATGCAATGTACTTCTAATACAGCTCATGCATTCAGGTTTGTGTTTCATTGATGCTACCCATAGTGTAATGAGGTTATCATTAAATACTATGTAAACCTGCAATCTACTAAGATTGAAGTCATCTATATGTATTAGTGACATGTATCCATAAAATAATTACATTTTCTATTAAACCCTACAGCTGTTACTGGAGCATTTGGAGTGCCTTGTGTCACGGCATGAAAGGTCACTAAGAATGACGGTGGTAAAACGACAAGCCCAGTCCCCCTCGGGAGTGTCCAGCGAAGTTGAAGTTCTCAAGGCGCTGAAATCTTTGTTTGAGCACCACAAGGCCTTGGATGAAAAGGTACAGTATTATGAAAGGATCATTACAATTTTATATGTCAATTATACCGCAATAAAGCTGATTTTTTTAATTACTGACAAATCAAGGTATAGTATTTACAAAAGATTTCAAGCTTAACTGTGCTTTTGTCATTAGCATCAAGCTCCTTGTCTTCATCCGTGACTCAGCTGACTTTTGAAGTAAGTTAGTTCAGAGGGACACATTTGAGTTACAGGAAAAATCATTTTTAAAAATGCAACTGGACTGTTGCATGTATGTTGGTACTATGCATAAACATGATCTTTTTTAATACCATTAAATCTATGGTTAATCAAGGCGTCTATTATGACATATTATAGTCCTAGTCCAGATGGCTATCTGAAATTTAATATTATCATTCAACCTTTCTCTCTCCTTCTCTCTCCTTTTCTCTGCTCACCCCACAGTCTCTCTTCTCCCTACCCCTCTGAAGTACATGGCTATACATACCAACATAGGACACTGCTAATGGACAATTAAACATATCTTGAAGTGTATATTGGATGTACTTTATCTTTAGAGATTTCTATTAGAGTCATACGATTTTATTCTGGGGCGTTTCTAATATCTTAGCTTTGCGCACACATTTTTAAGAGTCTCTGCATGTAGCAGCATAAGGTATTAGTAGAAAAAGCTGCTTTAGGCTTTTTAAAAGTAACTGTAAGTTTCTCTTAGCTGTTACTCAAATAAGTTCTATGGACATAAATAAGCCAATATGAGTATAATGTCCTTTGGAGATTAGAAAAGCTTATGACATGATTTCAATTTTGTGAAATTTCAAAGAATGAATTTTTTAAAATTAATAAAGCTCTAGGATTTTCTAGAGTGGGAATTGGGGCACTTCATTGTAAAGTATCTGACAAGTTAGGAGCATTAAAGTCCAAACTCGAGAGTATTACTCAGTTATATATAGGTTTTGAGCATACAGACACTTCTGCTCTATTTAATATTTATATACATATTTATTTTTATCATTGGTCTTTCAGATGTTCTCAGCACTGGGGATTATGTGGTGTGTGTGCATAAGGATAAGTATAATTCTGTCTTCTAAATTATTAAGAGGAAATTGTATCTTATTTTTAATTTTAGCATGAGAGAAAATTAGTTTATGAGTAATTTTGAATAAAACAAATGGATATCATATAAAAATTCCTGATAAATATAATATCAACTAACATCAAGTATCAAATAACAATTTAATATATCTAATGTTTATTTTCACGTTATATTCCCTTTCTTATTACAAAAGTGCATTACAAAGAATTTGTAAGACTTTATAGAGTATCTGTTATATGTCAGGCTCCTTGGCAGACGTTTGGCACAGGAAGATAAATAAGACATTCTCCTCACAAATGTGGAGTTCATAGTTAATGTTGGAGTTTACATGTCAATAACAGAGAATGTTGAGAGTCACAAAAAAAGTTGTAACTGATTTTGCTTGAAGAAGTGATGAGAAAGTCAATATTTCTTCACAAAGGGGGTAACATTTGATCTGGGCATTAAAAAATGTGTAAGGGTTTTTTAAGCAGAGAAATAAAGATGCTCTAAGCAATATATCAATGTGTGAACTAACCCAGAGCTATAAAGAGAGCATGGCCCGTTCAGAGAAGATTTAACAGTTCTGAATGACTTGAATAGGAACTTGAGAATGTGTGATTTGGGATGTTCCCTTAGATACATTCCCACATCACTTACATAAGGAATGCTTTTATGAAAAAAAAATGAATTAGAAGGCAATGAACAGCATTTAGGACAAACAACCTAATTGGGGTGAGTACATTTAAGAAGAAATGGTAGTATACATTTTAAAATCTAAAAGGGATTTACTATGTAGATGTTCAGTGAGCTTAGCATAACTAAATGAAGTACTTCATACTGTGACCCTAGGAGCAGTAATTGGACTTAATAACTCACGAGAAGTACCCGGGGCATTGGTGAGTCCAGGAGCAACTGAACTGATGATCAACTAAGTAATACTAAACAGCCTGAAGGAAAAGTAGTATAAGTTTGGGCGCTGGAGTTAGACCTGGACAAGTAACTTAATTTCTCTGTCTCTTTCCTCCACTTTGATTGAGGAGAATAGTAATACCTACCTCACAGAGTTGCTTAATGTTGCAAAGCTCCTGGCCAAAGATTAGCATATGGCAAATGCTCAGTAAATGTTAATGAATGTTATAATTAATATCAATAAATTTCAGGCTTTGACAAAAAATTTCAAACTAAGTATAGATGTTGGTATCACTGTTGATCCACAGGCTTGTTTAAATTAGCATTTCATTTAGCTATTGAGGGGTTAATATGTGCCTAAGCACCTTCAAAAATAATTTTCCTAACCAAAAATAGCTCACAGCTTCTCATGGAGATCAGGAGAGGTGAAGAGACAGACATATAAACAAGTAATTACAATATTCTCTTTTAAGTGCTATGGATATTATGTTAAAACCTATGTGGAAGATCAGAAGATGCAGCTAATCATATTGAGGACAAGAAACTACCAACTTTACCGCAGAAGGTTTGGAACATGTGAAAAGCTAAATAAAATGCAAAAGATACATCATAGTTGCAGACCGTTACAATGATTGGCAGTCTTCATCATTGGAGACTTATTTACATGTCCACTGACTTGTAGGGTAGAATTTATACAATTAGCTAAGGCTAGCAGTAATTTTGACCTAACTCTCCAATATGTTTACCAAATCTGTGGGCTGGATGAAATGAGAAGTATGCGTGTGTTTTTCAATCATTCAGATATCACTGAGTATTTTTTAAAGATATACTGGATATGCATGGGAAATGTAACCAAAAACATGCTACGTGTGTATGTGTGTGTGTGTATATACACCCTCCATATATATTTCTGTGATCTAATATCACAGTGCCAAAACTGGACTTGAAGGTCTGATCTAAGATTTCTTCACAATGGTTTTTGTTACAGAATTGATCATTCCAAAATAAATCACTGCCAAGCCTTAATTTCAATTTGAAATGTATGCTTCTTCCACCCAAGTTCCTCTTTATCCAACAACATATTCATCATTTGTAGGGACAGATATTTTAATCTTCAAGGATAATATTTCTCTGGCCTTGAAACATCTTTTTGGGGGGAAAAACTTCTCTTTAATTATTTTTCATACAATTATGAAGAAAAGTAACACTTGAAATTAGAAATTAAAAATTCTAGATGGACATAAATATGTTTGGAGGGTTATACTACAGCTCTACAAACAAGCAATCACTATATCTTAGCTTAAAAACTATATAAACAATAGAATGTAACTAAACAGTGAAAAGGCAGAAAAAGTTCAGCATAGAGCCAAGGCTATCAACTGTGTATATTTTAGAGAAAAAATTAAAACCATACTTTTTTCATGGCATATTAGACAGCTTCAAAAGAACACCAAATTCAACAAGAAAAATAAAGGTAATTATGACATTCTGCTGGTGCTGCTCAGACAGAACAAAAAGCTACAAAGCTTGTCAGAGATACTATTTTTTCCTACCAATAGAATTCCAGTTATGTAGACAAGATAAGATATTAAAATTCTTTATACTCTAAAAAGATTACTCCTTTGAATCCTCACTTTTTTTTTTCCTTATCAAGTTTGGCAAAGATTAGTGCACGATGAAGCAAATTCATTTTATTTATCTTAGTCCTACCCAAGAATTAAATACAAAGAGAACACTTCATTGTCATATAAAATATGAATAAAGCATTCATTATCATAAATATATTGATATTTGCAGCTTCAGTTTTTTCTTTTATAGCATAAATTCAAAATACACTCAGGAATTGTTTTTATTTTTTATTTAAGGTTCATTACTTTCTGGATAATTAATTTCAAGTTGTAAATGCTATTATAAACTTATTGATGGGTGATTTTTCATATTATTTGAAAAGCTTGTTAATTTTTACTTCTCCAGGGCTCAATATAATAAGAATATCCATGCTCAACTTGTGGTAAATACAAAATAGTTTGGAACTGCTTCTATGATTTTCAGTTTAGCAAAGAAAGGAGGGCATTTAAACTGCAATATAGCCTTGTTTCAGCCATTCCTTACATGGCTTATATGATTCTTTTTGGAACATTTCAGTGTCTCAGCATGTCTTTTAAAATATGGTATCTCAACCTCTTTACTGCAGTCTGAGTGTGATCTGATTAGTGTTGTGTATGTTGAGATTAATTTACATTTACACTGTTTCTGCATTGCTGTTCTCATCAACTAGGACTTCTAGATTTTTATCAGAACACCCATATTTTATAGCCAGTATTTTAGGAAATGGACATAAAATTTTATAGTCATCCCTGTTAAATATTAAGTGCATATACTAAGATCTTTATTGGTATCTGCAGTCCACACATCAGCAGTCCTCCTCATTTTCATGCCTTTGGGATATTTGCTTTGTCTGCATGTATCCAAGTATTTCTAAAAAAGCATTGCCTTAAGTCATATCATCAAAGATTTCCTTCTGTGTAGCTCTTGTTCAGTTATTAGTCAGCATTAGCTTTATGCATTTTTATGAACAATTGGATATTTGTCTAACAGCACTGGCACCTGGCTGCCCATCTGGCATACTTATATATCATGAAAGATCATATATGATTATCTTTGATATCAAATGTGCGTTTATGTATGTATTACTAATATTCAGAGGATTTGAACATAGCTAAGTATAATTAATATTAAAACACCACTCAAGCATTTATTCTTTCTTATTCAAGATGTATATCAGAAGTTAAGTACACCCAGTCACCTGAATATATTTCAGTTATAGTTATATAACTAAAATAATTGAGATTTTTAAAAATTTCTAATTAGATTCCAAATTCATAGGCTATCATTTGTTTTTTCTCTGTTTGCTAACTAGAAAATAACTCCAACTTTAAAATTATTATGTATCTAGGTTTTAGATATTTTGTGTATTTAACTTATATTCCCAGTTAAATCTCTCAAAAAAAGAAAAGGACTATTAATTAAAATATACTATTAATGAATTAATAAAATTGAAGTTTATTTTAATAACTTATTTATATAATTATATATTAAAGTGCACACTGTAATAGTCTCATGGAAAATCTATGTTAATTCATAAATAATCTAACACTCACCATGAATTCCATCTTAAGTTGAAGCTATAAATTTTGTTGACTTTTTTAAGGACAATTAAACTGCTATAATCATTTATCCCAATTTCTTTCTCTGAACTTTCTTCTTTTGACAAATTTAATATGGAGCTTATCTATAGATCTGAACATATAATTGCTAAAACAATTTTAGAAGTTGTAAGAAAACAAAGATTAAAGGAAAACTTCTCTGAGTTTCATTTATGTATGAAACATTTGGAAATCATCATTAATTTCAAACTAAAGGTGCAGAGTCTTTAATTCCACAAAATAAAATGATTTCACCTTTGGTATCTGAAAAGTAGTTAAGAATTTCAGAGTGATTAAGTACTTTCCAATCCCTCAATAACAATGTGGACCTCTAATTCATACAAAATTAATTTTGTGAGCAATGGATCACATTTTTCGTATTCTAAGAATCCTTTGCTTTTAGACAAATGATTTTTGAAGTTAGGTACTAAATGTCAAAGGAAAACTTCCATATTATTTTAGAGAAGTAGAAAGTTTTTGCCTGTGTCTCATGCTTAATCAGTGACTATTTTTCAGATGAATTCATAGCAAACTTTTGAACTTTGCCTCCACTTACTATGAATCAGAATTCAGATCTTCAGCCCCCTTGGAAACTCTGTCATTGAAGCACTAGAAGGACTTGCTTACAAGAAAATCCCTTGATACAATGATACTATGAGGTGACAAAGTAGTCCTAGTATTCCTGAGCACTTAGGGCTGTAAATACTTTAATAATTTGCCAAATGTGACCACTTTTGATAATGTTAATGGATTCAGCACAGTTTAATATGTATGGGATGTACATTACTGCACATATTTTGGTTTTTCTTCTAGGTAAGGGAGCGACTGAGGGTTTCTTTAGAAAGAGTCTCTGCACTGGAAGAAGAACTAGCTGCTGCTAATCAGGAGGTAACATACCAAACTTTCTCCTCTTTTGAGGTGCAATATCGCTAACATTCTATCCCTTGTGTTTCACGTCACTTTTATTAAAACTGTCACAAAAAAATAAACTACATTCTGTACATGCCCTGAACAAGGACTTTTGAAACTAGTTGCCAGAGTCATGTTTTCTGATTCCTAGTGATTCAGAACTGTCACTAAGAGATGAAAGGAAAATCATCCAGAGCTAGTGACATGAGAGCTAGGGAGATGGGGACATAGAAAGACTGCAGTCAGAATGCCAGTCCTTGTGAGAAGTAAAACACAGCCCCCAAACTGGAAAACATGTCAAATACCTGTTATATCTACAAAGTGTTAAAATGAAGTTAACTCATTTGAGATATAATTATATTTCCCTTAGGTTCTTATTTTTCTTGTCTTCTAAAAAAGCATTGTGTCTGTGATTAGTGGCATCATTGAATCCACTCTTTTGCTCTCATTCATGACTCTAAGAAAGTATTTTATAATCATCTATGATATTTAAAGAGTTGCTTTCTTCTCTAGAAGATTTTACTTTTTCGTTATTTGTATATACATGAACTTGGGTCATTAGACCTGATAGAGATAAATGAGATAGATAAATAGATAGATAGATAGATAGATAGATAGATAGATAGATAGATAGATAGATGATAGATAGATAGGTCGATCGATCTCAAATTAAATGTGTTTAGGCCACTAAAATAGCCTTTTCTCTCTCTTTCCTTCTCTCTGACAGTTATTTACAAGGCTACCTTTTTTCCAGAAGTTTATCCCAGGAATGTAATTACAGATATTATTTGTAGAGGACATACTAAAACTATTTAGCAAAATCTTCCTACTTTTAAATAATTAAGGAAGTGGGAGACTAAAGCCATTAATTATAAGTCTTACCAAGGGATTCTTAACAAAATAATACCTACATTTACATCTCACACACAAATACGCATTCTCAACCATGCTAAAAAATGTTGTCTAGTGCAAAATCCCTTGTGTTTTAAAATAAGGTAGGCCAATTAAATGAGCCAGATAAACTAGATAATGCTTTTGTTTGTTCCAGGTTTAACAATTTAAACTTTAGAAATAATAGACTTTCAACAACAGGAAGAATGGGTTTCATGTGAATTAAAGGCTAGCAGTGTTAAAAGCATTCATCACAACACAGCAGTTTAAAAAGAGAGAAAGTTTAGATGGGGAGGGTATAGCTCAGTGGTAGATTGTGCACTTAGCATGCAGGAGGTCCTGGGTTCAGTTCCTAGTACCTCTATTAAAATAAATAAATGAACCTAATAACCTTTCTCCCCCTACCCCACCAAAAAAAGAGAGAGACAGAGAGACAAAGCTTTTTTGGTGACCAAATCAGTTTAGCAAACGGGATGGCTTAAAAACAAATTAAATGGAAATAAGAAATTGGTAGATTGCTACATCTCAGTCATCACAGAAGAGAAAAACTGCTGAGAGAATGAGTATTGACAAGGAGGACTCAGTTCTTTCATGAAAGAGAACAGATAAATTATCTACAGAGTGGATATGCTTATTCCTGGAATCTTCAGGAAGAAAACATTAAATGTTGGTTCATTTTGTATTTGTCATTGTTAATTTTGATCTTCCCAGATGTTTACATTGCTTTTGAGTGCATCTCTTGAAATACTTTATTGCTAAAGATAAACAGAAGGTTTGGTGACCGCTAATATAAAAACCTCGCTTAATATGGCAGTAATGAAGTTTCTATTTGTCATGAACAAAAGTGTCGAGACCCCTTGGCTAAAGTGCTGAAATAAAAATGTCCCACAAGGTTAAGTGAGGCTCTGAAAATTTGCTCCAGAAACAGCGACTAAAGAATTCAATTATACTTAAAATGCAGAAACAAACTGGAGAACAAAAGTGGAGGAAAGATTTTTGACTGTTGTCTTTAATATAGTTTAGCCCTCAAACATTAGTGTAGTCCCTAGTAGGCAGTATGGTACATTTCACTGCTTCTACATAGATTAAATAAATTTTGAATCATTAACATGAGTGCAACTACTGCAGCCTTTCTGAATGCTTTCAGTTTTCTTTTAAATCACTGTATAAAAATAAGCATATATCAACTTTAATATATTTTGTTGTTGTTGATTATAATAAATTCCCATGTGGCTTAACCCAAATCTCTATTTAGGAAATCAAAAATCCAGCAAAAAAACTTAAAAAAAAAAAACCAAAGTTAACCTGAGCTTTCTAATAATAAATTGTTTATAAATAATTAGTGACTTTTTAAAAAGAGAGTACATAGGCAGAAGTTAACTTTTCCTTCATAATGAAATTTGTATTTCAAAACCTGCAGTTTGAGTTGATTCTCTACAGTATCAGCAATTGTTACAAGAAATCTCTAAGTCATCATGTACTGATGATAACAAGATACATTTAGAATCCTGACAAAATAAGTTTAGAAAAGTTCATACCATTTACAGCTTTAGGAAGGGAACTAGACAGAGTGTGGATAATAGAGGAAGTAACTGAAGAAAACATTTTAGAAAATAAAGAGCAAATTTTGGGAGAAAAAAACGATAATGATTTAAGAGCACATTCTTAAGAACCAAACCAAAATATGTACATAGACAAAAACAATTCAGTACCAGCAAAAGTCCTGCATATGTGTATTTAAGCAAAGCGTTGTGGAAAATTTTATTTCATGGTTCAGATTTTAAATTAAAGTTAAAATGTATTCATAAGTATCCCTTATAATTCAAATCTACTTGTTTCCTGAGATTGTATAGCAAATGTGGAGGTGAGGGATCCACATTGTCAGAAGCAGTTTGATTCCTGAATTTCTGCTAGTGGTAATGATAGTTCAGATACTAAGGAATTTATTCAGACATTTTTCTGAATTATTTCAGTTTCCAAATTCAGAAAGGAGTAATCAGAAAGCAGGAGTTTGGACTGCAAGTAATATCTTGATATATTCATCCATACATATATATACATCTATATATATATGTG